TTCTTAGTTACATAAATACAGTCTAAGCAAGCGGTCTTCCGGCATGACGGAGAAGTCAGGGACTGGTGCCACAGGCGATGAAACTGGCGGAACTGGCGCGACCGGCACAACTGGCGTAAGTTGATAGTTTTGGAAATGCTGGATCTCTCCATGTATATCATAGCAAGAGATGTTGTAAAAGTTGTTGAAGAGTTTGGCATTGGTATAAGGCTTCATATCTCAATGAACAAAAATGTCTGACATTTTTCAGAACCAGGAAGGAGCTGACGACAAGGACGAGAAGAAGGGAGCTCGATGGGACCGGCAGTCAAATGGGGGGCACTACTGGTGGCACTACTGGGGGAGAAGGCACTACTGGAGCTACAGGTGAGTGAGGAAACGGCGTTATCATCATTATGTTTATGTTACTATGATCACTGAGAATGGGCATTTGACCGAATTTCTCTCTGCGAACGTTCTAGAAAAGCTGTCTATTGCAGAAGGGAAGAGCAAGAAGAGTAAAAAAGGTAAAAGTAAGAAAGGAAAAAAAGGGAAGAAAAAGAAGACAGCCCATTTCAAGCAAGTAATTTGGCTGGAATCTTCGCTTTAGTATTTAGAGACAAGTAATGGCGTACAAAGAGAAACTGATTAGACTATCACCCACAAATTGCAGGAAACGAGGACACCCGTGTTACAAAGTTCTCTGCATCGTATTCTCACTGTTGGCACTAGCATCTCTTGCAACAGCAATGACCATGGGAGCGTTGATTTTAAACGAAGCAGGACGTTGATAAACGCCGCAATAAAGTGGTTGTTCCCGCATGTTTTTCGTTTCAATGAAGTTTTCGATCGGGAGAGTTTAATGAACATACATTTGAATGTGTTATTCGAGCACACAATTGGAATTTATTTTCTCCAAACAAGACACAGCTGACCACACGAAAGATCAACAATACACGTAGAGAGAAAGGGTGACTGAATGGTCAAAGTTTTAATAATCGTTGGATGCAAATCGCTGCGCATTTTTTGTGGAAGAAACAGACAGTTTCGGAAGAGAAAACATACAGAAAGATAAAGAAAGATTGGTACCAGTAAGTGCCTCAATATACTGTCACAGTCCTTATGGAACTCACTATCAAGCACTTGTATCATCTTAGGGCAGGTAATTGGGGATTTGAGTGGGCTTGAGGATATATCGCAAAAGCCATAGCAGCAACATGAAAAGGACGTGGAATCCATAACAGCAAAACAGAAAAAGGCATTGAGTCGTTATTGTGAATGCTGCGATTCCTCTTTGATTTCGTGTATTCCATCGCCCAGTCGACTGCTCTGGAAGACTTCGCAATGATTGAACACTTCCATAGTAAGCATAGATTATAAGTTCAGGAACATAGGCTGTATACCGTAACCCTCTCGACGTTGCACTGGGGCGCGCAATGTCACGTGTCATCGATTTCCATGTGTGCTCGGCACCCACTTATCGTTTTCTCTGCGTTCTCTCAACGAAGAGAGAATGCGTCGAGCAATCACGCCAACTATACTAAGCGCGGTTGATCAAGAACGCGGAGGATAGCACGCACGACGGCCTCGCGGCACGCGGGGGACCACCTTCCCTGAGCGCGCGGAGCGCGCGCTGCGCTTGCCTAGCCGCACAAGCGACGAAGCGAACGCTGCACGCCGGTGTGGCGTCGTTGATCGCATTCGCTCGCAACCTAACAACGGCATCGCTTGCCAGAGGCCCTGCGACCGTGCCCTGGCGCTAATGTGGGTTACGGCATAAGTCCTATGTTCCTAAAATTATAATCTTGTCTAGTAAGATGTAATACGTGGTGATGCAAAGGAAGAAATGAGTAGCAATTCAAGCACGGGTAAATCCTAATTACTCTCCATTCGCTTCTGCGTTAGACCAAAAGAAGCTCGAGAAGAAGGAATAGCTAGTAGATCTGATAGCTCAAGCGCTTTCTTGGAGATCACAGTGTACTAGTGGGAGAGCTTTTTTGAGAGAGGCTGGGACCCTGAGAGCAAAACCTGGATAAGCAGCTTCGTACCCTGTATCGGAGAATAATGCTTGCGCTGCTGTGCTGACCCAGATAAAGTTGTTGTTTTTAGTCCAGAGCAGATGATGTGTACAACTTCACTGACTTGTCCTATGCAAAAAGGGCTCTTATGACGACACAGTCCTACAATCCGTTCTGAAGTCAGGCTGCACCGCGAAGAATGGGAATAGATAGAACAGTCACCAATGTGCCCCTGACCTGTCCATGCGACTACCATGTTTTCGGATCTCCACACTACCGAAGAGTAGCAATTTTGTGATCGGTCTGACCACAATGATGCCATCGGAAGTCATCCGGTCACACCTAACGAGTTCTGTAAACCTTTCTTTTTGCTGATAGATTCGAGAACGTGAATGGCTGAACGCCGTGATGATTGCACCATACCTCATTTTGAGCCTTTAGTCCCGAAGAAAGAACGAAAGCAGATTTCTTGACGCGAAAATTTTAGACTCATGCGACGCCTCCTAATAGAAAATCAGACGAAAGGGTAAAGGAGGGAACGTTGCATGGCTGCATCGAATAAGGCACAGAATCGTGAGGAGGAGCAGGACGCTCTGTCCTCTACCTGATCCCCTTAGTAATAAACTGCTAATATGCCGGTGGTAGGTGATGAAAAGCAATGACAGGTGATAAAGATTGATAAGGAGCGTCGCAAGTCGCCGTCGTCGAGCTCGCGTCAATATCGGAATTTTATATGTGTTGGTCGTGACGTGGAACAGAAACGGAAATGGGAGGAGTTGATATTACGTGATAGCAGATAAGGGGTACCGGTATGTAATCTGCACAAACCCATTACTCATTTGTCAGAAAAGTAGGGCGCTGGAATTATGTGGATTCGAATAAGAAGGTAGCTGGTACACGAAGGAAAAGATGGCAACTATTAAACGATGATAGAGGCGTATGGTGGGGGAGCGCTGTCAGATGAATATAGTGAAATTGTGGTGGAGGGAATCACGATGAGTGACAATAAAACACAACCAAAAATGGCAGACGATAGCGAGCAACAAGAGGATGTAACAAGACATCCTTCACTGCCGGCGTCTGAAAAGTGATAAGAAGAGCTCAGGTCTGAATGTTCAAGTTCTGATCATTCTTCGAGATCAGTGGCGGTAAAGCTTACTCGACCGATAGAATGTGAATTCCAGAAAAATGGTGAATGATTGTATAGAGATTTTTCTTGAGATAACACAAGCAATCGCGAATGGCTATCAGCAATATCAGAGTTCCTACTTGTCTGTAACACTTGCCAGCACCACTGAACGTAGGATTCGAATAACTTAACGGGTACTTGTGATTCACAGGCCACGAAATCTTGTCACTAAAGACCCAAAAAGGAATATACAAAATTAGTTGAGTAATACGCCAACCGTGTATTCCTCAGGCGACAAATTCGACTATGGTCCCGAGTGATGCTCCAAAAACATGCGCACCTAAAATGATCCTACTCTGTGCAATCCGCTAAGCGATTGTGTGTGCGTACAGTGTCCGACCAAAAATTCTTTATACCCAGCTGGCTTTAGTCGCAGCGCGTTCAAATTGGTAAAGGCAGTAGGTTCTGGAGGGCTCGAATAGGACGTCGGTTGCTCATTG